AAGGCAGACGCTTAACGACTGAGCCACCCAGGCGCCCCAATCAATCACACATATTTAATGGGCACCTATTCTCTGTTCAGCACTTGTGAAACAGAAATGGACTTAAAAGAGGGTAAGACACAGTTCTTTCCCCTGGAAAGGGAGCAGAAAAGATCCCTGTATCGGACACAATGAGAACACACCGCTGTAACTACGGGGCATAGGTAATATTGATGCAGGAACTGAAACCACAATAGCACCGAGGGTGAAGCAGATGGATTTCATGTATTTGGACAGAATAATAGGACTTGATGAAGATTGGGTGTAGAAAGGAAAAGGAGTAATCAATGCTACCTCAAAGATTTCTAGCTTCATAAGCTATAATGCAAAACTAGTGGTTTGGCAAGCTGATTATAAAGTGGATACCAAAAAAAGGAGGATTAAGAGCAAAAAATCTATGTATGTTCTCTTCCAAGCATTCTAGGGACTTCTAAATCTTGTCTATGATACAAATACAGAAAGACTGATTAGGTATGATTGTGATGATACATACATAACATACATAAGATATAAAAACAAACAGGGATGGGGGGGGCCTGGGTGGCTCAGTCGGTTGAGCGTCCAACTCTTGATTTCAGCTCAGGTCCTGATCTCAGGGTCGTGGGATGGAACCCTGTGTTGGGCTCTGTGTTCAGCGGGGAATCTGCTTGAGATTCTCGATTCTCTCCCTCTCCCTCTGCCCCTCCCCTGCCTCACGCGCTCATTCTCTCTCAAATAAATAAGTAAATAATTCTTTTAAAAAAAACCCAAACTGGCATCGGTGAAGTCGAATTTGGCACAGTGAACTTGACAAAGTGACAGTGCCAGTGGGATGCTATACAGTGATCTTCATCTTAAAAATGGCTCCCAATGCGAAAATGGGATCCAGTGAGACAACAGGGTCTCTGCTCTGTGTGGCAACTGAGCTCCAGCCAGGACCTTACTACCAGCGCCACTCTTCTGTTCTAGCATTAAAATAAAAAAATTATTTTTTTGTTATTAGACTTTTCTTAACAAATAGTCTCCCATCTTGTAACAAATAAGTTGGTAAATACTCCTCCATGATTGGAATTTTGGGGCACCCCAGACCAAATTTCTAAATGTAAACACTTGCTATTTCAACATCCATGTAACAATGTTTCTTATATAATATTTTCCACAAATATATTATACTAAAATAAACACTGGGCAAACATTAAGAATTGCATTCCAGCTCAAGTTCTGCCACTAACTTGCCCTGTGACTTTGAGAGAAAGGGTCTTTGTTTTCTGTTCTGCAAAATGGGAAAATCAGACTAGATCCTGAATCTGGCTACCCATCAGCATCATTTGGGGTATCTTCTAAAAATAAAGATTCCTGGGTCATGCCTCAAATGTGCCGAATCAGAATCTCTTAGAGCGGAGGGCTGGAAACCTATTTTTAACAAGCTCCCAGCTGGTTCTTACGCAGACAGCCCAGCACGGACCTGCAGAGCAATGCTCAGGAACCACTGACCCAGATGCACTCAGCTCTCTTGCAACCCTAACATCCCAAGAATTTTCCTCTACTGTCAAGTTATCTTCTCAGTGGTTGCTTGTGGATACAAATTGCACATTACTTTTCTTTACAGAATAAGAAAAATTAAATGAAAATTAAAAGAGTGGCAACAGCTGGCCATAGGCTTATCACTCAACTGACCAGATGTTTTCAGTTCTGTTCACTGTAAGATTTTGCCATCCTCTCATTTTCAATGAAGACCAATGAAAAACTATTATTCATTGAATATTAATTTGGCCGTGCAGATCTGCACCAGAAATATGATACACCCATACACAGTTATCTAAGACCCTTTCCAATATATTCCCTTTAGTTTCTTCTTCCTCTTACATTCCCCACCCAAGTTTTACTTACCCAAACTCAAGTTTCCTGAAAGTGCCACATTCCCCTAAGTTTCTCTGACTTGCTTCTGTCAATGCCTCTGCCTAGAATGTTCCTTCCCGCCTTCTCTGGCTAGCAAAATTCATATTCAGGATCCAATTCAAATCTTTCTTCTGTGAAACCCTCCCTGAACTCCACCGTCATCCTTCTTGCCACACACAAATCTCCCGTTCCCCTAGCAGAAACGTTTGTTCTAGGAATCCTAAAACCTTATACACACCATATGAAAAGCGACTTTTATGCTACTCCCTGTGAGCTCCTTGACAGCAAAGACTGGATTTGTTCATCTTTATTTCCGAAATACATATCAAATACTCAATTAATATTTGCCAGATGCTGAATACATCAATAAAACTCACTTGTCATACAAAATCATGGCATCGTTCTGTGCCTCCTGTCCATCATACTGGCCCTTTTTGGCAGCAAGTTGAGACTGGAAGTTATCTGCTGCCAACCAGAACTGTAAGATATTCACTGCATCCTCTTTTTCCATGTACTAGGAAGGAAAAATACAAAAAAAAGAAAAAAAGACTATAAACATATTTCTCTAACCATCTCTAATCCATAAGCCCATCCATTAAAAATATAAGACATACACAAAAAACAAAAATAAAAACAGATCCACTTGTTCAGTTCATGCCAGTCAGCAACTCACAGTTGCTTTTGAAACTGAAAAGTTGAAAGCCATTCTTGTAAGGGAAAAAAACAAACTAACAAAAACCCCACCACACTGCTGGATACAAACTTAAGTGAACTGGAATAAGAATCACAGTAAAGATGATTAGTGGTCCCTCAGTAGCTAACATACAAAAAGTAAACTAACCAGACCAAATCTTTTATACCTGATCATTTCCATCACTCCATGCAGCCTCAGTAACCTGAACAAATGCGGACTTACACTTACAAAGAGAGGGAGTGAGAAAGCAAATCAACCGAAAGCTCTATTCTTGGGAGAGGCAGAGTGCAAGTGTGTATCTACGTTAATGCTTTGTGACCCTGGAAATCCTCCCCTCTCTACTTAATAGTCATTTGCTTTGCAACAGAAGAATTTCATTTGCCGAAACCTAACAAATACCATTATACTAAACTGTACACCTCAAAGAAATTAATCTACTCATTGCTTGAGAAATCCTATCGAGTGGCTAAAGTAAAAGTGATGATAGCAAGAAAAAATTTACTCCTTTTCTTCCTCTCTTCTGAAGTCTGGTCTGCAAATATGTGTGCACTGGAATCAAGTATCAAATCTGTGGTTTTAAAATGGCTCCAGATAATTAAAAATATGCAGTCTCTTATAAGCAGAAGTTTGATTAAGTTTTTCAAAATTAGAGTTATTTTACACTGAATTTTCACGTTCTCTTTAATCTGACTAATATGCCATTAAAGTACTCTTGCCATTAGGTGTACAACATAAAAAAATTACTTCATTCCAATTGATCTTTTCGGAAATGATTTGGCTCTTCCATGTTATTTTCTATAGAGGGGGCCCCAGCATTTCTAGTTTAGAGGCTGGAATGCTCTAACAGAGTGTGAAAGGAAATGCAGACTTTACCTCAGAGAAATAAAAGAGGGCTGACTCACAGAAGAGAATGTCAGCCAGGTAAACAGTTCCACTGGTCAGCACTTCAATCTGGTATTTACAGAAATGGTGACTTCGCAGAAACTCACTAAAGTGCCTGCACATGGACAAAAAGGGAAAATTTGAGGGAATGACCAAGGAAAGAGCTTAACTGAGAAAAATATACTCTTTCCATTCTGTGCCTAATGTATCTTAAAAGCCTTGGTCCACACTACCTCCCATCCCATGCTGTCCTTCCTGGTTCCTACGCCTGGAAGTAATCTCTCCCGCCTCTTAGAAACTTTGTAGCTTTCCTCTGAGATGTGACACATGCTACCTCATATTACATGTAACCAAAGAACATACCCTATTTCTCTTAATAGGCTGTAACTTCCTTCAAAGCAGGTACTGTATCTAACTATGCCCTGCACAGAGCACCCTTTTCATAAATACTAAATGAATCAATATGCAGATTTTTTCCCTTAAAGGGCATGCACCAGTAATTAATCTAAAAACAAACAAACAAACAAACAAAAACTTTGGAGACCGTTTCAACAAACCTACGTGGATTTAGTAATACAGCATCCATTAAACTTAAAGTGTACACTAACAAATTAGGATCTCTATCTGAACACATGCATTGCTTAAATAAATAAATTCTAATAGTCAAACTGTAGTTACAATCACCCCCAAATGACTTCAGAATTTTAAAAACTTCTTTTAACTTAGGAAATATTAACATTAAAAACAAACGTGTTTTATTTTTAAGAGTTCACATAATTTATATTTAAAAGACACTATGAACCAGGTAGTCTTAGATATGCCTATAAGATATAAACATTCAAAATACTTAAGTCCTGAAAAATTGTTTGTTTGTAGTTGAGTGAACCCAAATCCCAAAACCCAAAATGTGAAAGTTTGAAATTAACTTACTCTTGCTCCATGGCACTAAAGACTATGGACTGTGCCAAAACAAAACAGTTGGGATCCACCTGTCCATCTTCTCCACAAATCTTTGCTATAAAAGAAATGGTAAATAAATTCCTACCAAATCCAAATCATACATCTTTGTGAATCAGAGTAGGAAATAACTGGAGAGGTATAGAAATCAGAAAGTTTTAAATGGAGCTAAGAAAAATACAGATGAACATATAATCTTGAGGTAGGAAAAGTCTTTCTAAGGACATATATAAAAGCAGAAATCAAAAGATTCAACAGCCTAAAATCAATTTCTACACATTAACATACCCACAAAACAAAATTAAAAAGGAAGACTGGGGGAAAAAATTTGCAGCACCAATGACAGCTTACCCTGTATGTGATAGATTATTATCATTCATATATCAAGAGCTCCTACAAACTAGTAAGAAATGTCCCCAAAGAAAAATGAGCAAAGGACATGAACAGATAGTTTGCAAAAGAACAAATATAGGTGCCTGGCTGGCTCAGTCAGAAGAGGATGCTCACTCGGGGTTGTGAGTTTGAGCCCTATGCTGGGTGTAGAGATTACTTAAAAAAATTAAGTAAACTTAAAAAAGAATAAATATAAAATGGCCAATATGAAAAGATATACACGCTCACTAGCAATCAAATAAATAGAACCACAAGTTAGAATAAGGAGACACCCTACCTTTTGTCTAGTAAATTGGCACAAATTGTTTTAACAATGCATATGTTTAATTGTTTAACACTGCACTGCTTTGCTTGGGCAAGGACATGGGAAAACTGACACTAGTGTCAGTGAGAATATACTGGTATATTCTTTTCTGGAGAGCATTTTGGTACTTTATAGCATAAGCTTTAAAAATATGCCCGTTCAATCAGCAATTCTATTTCTAAGATTGCAACCTAAAGAGTTATGATTTGTAAAAAGGCTTATCTGTGAAAAAGTTTACCAAAATGTTATTTGGTAGAAACATGAAATGTGCAAAAATTAGGAATTACCTAAGTAAACTGCAGCAAATCAGTAAGCTGTTTAGCCAGCTATTAAATACAGCTGGAAAAAAACCATTCACCCACGATGGCTGGTTTCACTTTAAGTTCACGACCTTAGCGGGACCTTAATGAAACCCAAGGATCTTACTATAGTTTCTTGGTCCATTTACTCTCGTACTCTGCCAGACAACACACAACGCAACATTTCCTCTCTTTGAACACCTTAATGCCTCTTCTACTCTCTGCTGATGACTTTGCTTCCTACTTCATTAAGAAAATGGAAGCAATCAGAAATTTATTTCCATCACTTCCCACCACATCTGCCTCATACTCACCAGCTGTATAGTCTGTTTTATACATATATACTTGTTTGTATGCCATACCTTATATGCTTATAACACATCACCACAAAAACAAAACAAAAACCACTGTCCCTTGACTTAACATCCCCTTCCAGCTCATCTTTAGAGCAAAATGCCTCGTAAGAGTTGCTCATACCTGCTGTCTCCACTCTGCCTCCCGTTCTAAGACTCCTCTGGTTAAGTTTCTGTCTCCGGAGATCCAATGAAATTAAGATAACCGATGGACTAGTTGTCCACAAGGTTGGCAAGTCCATTCCATTCCTAGTATTCATCTTATTTAACCTCTCAGCAGGATTTAACACACCTCTGATCACTCCCTGACTCCCAGAAACACTTTTTCCTTGGCTTCCAGAAAGAACTACTCTCCTGAGACAGGGTTCATATAGCAGAGCCAACTTTACGGGCTGCTACTCCTAAGTCTCCTTTGCTGGTTCTCCCTTCCTGGTTCTCCCTCACCCACCCACCAGACTTGTGAATGTTAAGCCTGCCCCAAGACACAGTCCTTAGACCTCTAGTCTTCACTCACCATACTCACTCCGAGGATAATGTTATCCATGGCTCTAAACCCATCTATATGCTGATGACTTCAAAACATATCTCCAACCAAAGCCTCTCTCATCAACTCCTAACACAGATATCCAACTGCATACTTGACATTCACCATTTGGGTGCCTACAAACCCCAACTCCTGATTTTTCCCTTAAGCTATTACTCCTACGATCTTCTTGATCTTATAAATGGCAATTTCACTCTCCCAGTTACTCAGGTTTTCAAAAAAATGAAGTCATGCTTGGTTCCTTTTTCCCTCACACCACTCACTTTCAAACTATCAGCAAACACTATCAGCTGTACCTTCGAAATATTTTTAACATTCTACCACTTCAAGGATTTGCAGAACATGAAGGAGGCAGTGGAAGCATAGTTTTTGGGTTATTCTGAATCTCCATATACAAACGAAGTAATTAGACAGCAACACCCAAAACCCATGGATAACATTTACAACAAAACTAGGCAGGTGGGATACACAGTAACAGCTCAAGTGCAGACTTCTTCCAGCTGTCACGTATTTGAAGTACAGCTGTATTAGAATATTCCAATTGAAAGAGGAGGATACCGGATAGGATTAAGAAGAATGAGGCTCAAAGAGGAAAAATGACTGGTCTAAAAACATACAGGTAATTAACATTTTAACTTTCTCAGATCCCTTAATCACTAAATGTTACCAACTTATACTTCCAAAGATTTTTTTCCCCTCATGGGATTGTATCATTAATTTGATAAAGTTTAAAAAAGGAAAAAAAGAACTGAAGTGATATTTCTTCTTTTTCTTTTTTTTTTAGATTTTATTTATTTATTTGTCAGAGAGAGAAAAACACAGAGAGAGCGCACAAGCAGGGGGAGCAGGAGGCTCCCCGCTGAGCAGGGAGCCCAACGTGGGGCTTGATCCCAGGACCCTGGGATCATGACCTGAGCCGAAGGCAGACGCACAACTGACTGAACCACCAGGTGCCCCCCTGATATTTTTTTTTTAATTTTTTTATTGTTAAGTTAATCCCCATACATTACATCATTAGTTTTAGATATACTGTTCCATGATTCATTGTTTGTGCATAACACCCAGTGCTCCATGTAGAACGTGCCCTCCTCAATACCCATCACCAGGCTAACCGATCCTCCCACCTCCCTCCCCTCTAGAACCCTCAGTTTGTTT